ATATATGTCCAATGAATGTTGTCAGGGTCACGTGATGTAATAACACGCATTTTCTGATGTTGCGAGCTAAAAGCTTGATATTATAGATATGATCATTTTTTCTTGTGTTGGTTTTTTTTGGAACAATGGATGAAAAAGAATAATAAAATGGTGAATTAGTTTTTGTAGAATTTTGCGTTATTTCTTTTGTAAAAGGTTACGACTGACAGGTGCATTAGAGTATTCACTTTTTGATTCAATTATCCTATTTTTTGATGATCGATTTTTCGCCAGTTATTGTACAGATTTCTTAAAAAAATATGTTTTCAATACGATATTGTTTATTACAACAAGCGAATCTCTAAACGAAACAAGCATTTGAGTAACCTCCTTTTGAAGAATGATTCGTGTGATTTCATCGAGTTTTAATTTTTTTAAAAATGTGATGATGATTTACAAAATACAAATTATAATTATAATATGAATAATTCTAAATTTATGAATTATAGTTTTATTCTATAAAAATTATTGCAAAGTATTTATTTCATGACTCATGAATAAGAAATGTCTCTTTTTTTAGTTTAAATACTTGTGATTATAAATTTTAATATATATATATATATTAATATTAAAATAAGTTTAAGCATAATTCTAAGAAACATATAATATGATATTTGATATAACATGAGAAGTTCTTAAAAAAGTAAAAGTTATTTTATTAAAACTACTTTTGAGGATTCAAAAAGAAACTGATATCTTTTATTCAACTTTTAGTTTAAAAGAAAAATCATTAAATATATATAACTTTCTTATGTACTTATTTCTGTATCTATTTACTTTATATTCTGATGGTTTATTTTAAAAAATATGTATGTTAATGAGAAAATACCTTATTTGTTCTTAAGCTATGAAATAATGTTATATATTTTTCTTTCTCTATATTGTTCATCTCAGAACTTCAGCCAATGCTCAAGTTGAAATGTTAGGTCCTAACATACCTTTTTTCTTGATGTTGACGTAGATGGTAACAAAACATTTAATCTGAGCGGAGGAGTTTGTCCTAAGAAACCAAACCTTAATATAAATCTTTAAAAACTGCCAGTCTAGTTTAGGATACTTGTAGATATGTAGGATTCTAAAAATCTAGCATTCAGTTTAGCAGTTCTATTTTAGATTGACAGCAGAAACAATGTTTATTAGAAATATGCAACCATTATAATGAAATAAATGCATTAGTGACACTATTATGTGCATCAACTGATAATACACCAACTAAGGAAATATGAGTTGCACAAATTAGTAATCATTTCGTAATTATCAAATTTTATTATAAAGCTTTTGAAGAACTAATCTTTAAATGAGAAGTTAGAAATCTTCATATGTTCTAATTTATTAAAAATACAATAGTTTTTTTTTATTTTTTAAAGATTTACACATTATATTTTGATAAATGACTTTTCTAACTTTTGACTAAATGAGTTTTTTCAACTTTTCTTTTTTGTTTACAAAACTTACTTGTAAAGCAGGGCTTGTGCCCTTATGAAACAAAAATCGTACACATCTTTTGGCTAAAAAGTATTGTAGTTACAATCTTTGAAACTATTCAGCTTTATTTTTGGACTGTTTTGAAAAAAAAAAAAATTTTTAAATTTACTTTGATTTATATCAATAAAGTATTTTGTTGCATTTGATTCAGTTACTTCATAATGGCAAAATTGGAAAAATTTGATCTAAAACCTAAATATTACTCAGTATAAAAATTTGTAGTTCAAGTTAGATATAAGTAATATCTGTTATGTAATTTTTTCACTTTAACTGTTTTAGGCTAGTTTAAATCCACTTCAAGCTATTTTAAACTCACTGGTTTATAAAGGATGGGAAGGTTGCGATGGTTTGTGGAAAAGTCTAAAAACTTGTATGTGCTGCTGTTGTCAGGAGCCACCACATCCTGGACTGTTAATTGATGTTACATCATCTGATCATCAGCCGTCTCCTGAAAGACCTACTTTATCTACAAATAACAACACAAACAATCATTTTGATTGATTCTTCATATTAAGATTGTATCTGAACCAGGGCTGATTGTGCTCCGGAAAAAATCCGGATTTCTGGATTTTTTGCTAACTATGATTTGGAAGTTTCCGGAGATCGAATGTTCAGACGTTTAAAAAAATCATTGATCACAAAAGTTTCCGGAAATCAAATTTTCAAAGGTGGAACTTAAGAACACAGTTTATTTTATTTCTTTCTATGGGAGAGCCAGATACTTTATAAGGTTATATTCAAGATTAATATTCATTTTTTATCAGTAAATAGTTATTATAATTATAAACTCAAGGAAGGAAGACATATTTGTAAACTTCAATTACTTCCCCAGGTCTTTCATAGGTATGTGTAAAATTTTAAATATATTTTAAGTAAACTAAGAAATATTGAGAAAGAGGAAAAAACCTTGTTTAAATTTTTTTTGAATTATTAGATTTAAATTTTTTTTTTTTTTACTCAAGAAATTTTCCAGAATTTTGACTTGGGCTCACAATCACCCCTGATCTGAACTTACTAGTACAACCTATTCTATCTACAAATAACAACAGAAAAAAATTATTTTGATTGATTCTTACCATTCAGATTGTAGCTGATCTTAATAGTGCAACCTATTTTATCTCCAAATAACAACACAAACAATCATCTTGATTGATTCTTACCATTAAGATTGTAGCTGATCTTAATAGTACAACCTATTTTATCTCCAAATAACAACACAAACAATCATTTTGATTGATTCTTACCATTAAGATTGTAGCTGATAGAGAAAAAAACACTATATAAGCAAATTTTTAAAATTTTCATTATTATATTTTTATTTTATTTGGTTTCATGCTGAATAAGAATAGTTATTATTGTTGTACAATTTGTCTTTTACTATACTAGAACAAATAATTGAAACTTTTAGATTGAAATTAGATAATTATTTATTTAGAAAATTATTAAAGAACTATCAATTAATATATATTTCTT